GATGTAACTTCTGTGGGTCACATGGTAGATTGGTATTGTCTTATGCAGAAATGATTTTTTTTTCTTGCTTCTGCATGCCTGACTGGCCTATTTAAGTGCCATGTTCTTTTTTCTTCACACCCTCATTTTGTGGTGTGTCGCCGAGTTTGCTGCTTGTTTGGCATGCCTAATTTTCTTTCTTATTTTCCTTTTCTTTTTGTGCCCTTATATATTTGTAGACAAGCATCGGGAGGCAGTGGAAAGAGCTCCTTGACTATAATGACACGATTGGCTTTATTTTCCATGTGAGTGCTCCTTCTGCCATCACCAGTTAACATTGTCTTATACATGAAACAGTTCTATGCAAATTGATAAAACTTGCCGTTTTCTCCAATTGTTGCAGGAAGATGCAAAGAAGGATAAGGTTCCTAAGAATCGGTATACAGTGTGATAACTTTGTCAACGGAGAGAACTTATTTGACTTTTCTAATTTAAGATGACATTTAGCACCTTCTAAGTTGTAATACAAACTCTTATTTCTTGGTATTATTATCTTCACTGCCTCTTATGAGAACTGTGGGAATGTGCAATATGATAAAGCCTAGCATGCATCTGTTCTGGAGTGGAGGGGTGGGAGGTGTGTGGAGTTGGCTTTTTCTCCTGTGCCAAGATCGCATATTGCATCTTAAGTTGTGACTTAACCATTTCTCTTAATCTTACCATGAACTATTTCTTTCATGTTCTAATGTTTGTTCAGGGAAATTTTGGAGCATACAAGTCCTGGCTATTCTTGGACTGAGAACTAACATTTATGTCATGAGCATTGGCTTTTTGTAGTCTTGTTGATGCAGTGGTCCAAAGTAGCCGAAAATTTTCATGGATCTATCTCTGCCATCAGGTACGCTCAACTTGTTTAGCATAAGTTTTTGAGAGCTGTATGCCTCCCAGCAATTACTTTCGTGCTCATTTTCCTGCATATTTATTTGTGTACAGAGATGCTGCTGCAGATACTGCTAAGTCTACCAGTGGCCATCCGTCCCCGAAACACCTATGCAATAAAAGAAAAGAAACCCAGTGACAACTACGAGGTATTTTATTGGATCTTTCATGGTCTTCGTCCTCTTTTACATCTTGGTATAGAAAACATTCCAAATTCTTAATTGATTTGGAGAAAGATTTAGTGACATAGATCAATCCTCTAGTTGGATTTAATGTTTTTGTGAGAGGTTCGATAGATGTGCTTAAAAAAGAAAGAACATAAAGAGAATGATCTAGATTTTTTTAATTGAAAAGATGAATCTAAATAGGAAGTTATGAAAGGACTTCGTGAGCAACATAGTGAACTTCTCGAGCGCAAGCTCTTAACTTCTTATCGTGTCACTTGTTCGTATCTTCTTCTTTCTTTCCTCCTCTTTTTTTATGTTTAAGGGCTAGTTGTCCTCTCTTTAGTTGTTGTTGGTTCAATCTATGTTGTTGTGTTTAGGATGTCACACCCTTCTTTTATGGATGTGAAGGGGAAAACTGTGTTATTGTTGGACTTTCAATCAAAGTCCAATTCGAATTGAGTTGAGTTAGAGATTTTGAGTTGGTCAAACTTGATGTTTGAGATTGACTCGGTCAATGTTAATTGAATCAGATTATGACTCAAATTGAGGTTGAGTTAAATTGGATTGGAGTATGACTTGACCTGAGTTTGAACTGAATTGAAGTATAATTCGAATTGGGTTTGATCGTCATGATCACGACTCTCTCTCTTAATATGGCAATTCACTCCTATTAAAAGTTGGATTTGAAGATGTGAAAATTCTGCTTCATTAATTTTTTCATGTAGAACTTGGCTTTTTGTCCTCTGTGTCCTACTTGGAAAGCTATTGTGATGTCTCATCTTGTGGTAGCATCCTTCTATTCGATAATGATATTTTCATCTAGAGTGTTTTCTTACTCAATCACCAAGTCATCTATTATTGTAAACGGTGTGTCTCATTCAACTCATCATCTATTGTATCAGTAGCTCGAATGTCTTCAAATTTTTCACAATGTATAGAGTCTTACTTGAGTTGGCAATCGTGTTTCCAATCTGCTTTAGAACTTTGAATGAGTCGTCATATCAAACGAACTTGTGTTTCTCTCCTCTTCTCAGCAATTCCTTCTCTAAGTGCAGCCAAATGAGGTCACATTCTTGAACAAACCATCATGTCACTTTCTGGATTTTCATTGAGCCCATTAAAGCTGCTTTTCAACTTCCTCGAACACCTGTCCAATGTACTAAAAATTTTTTAAAAGCTTGTAGTATTATTATGTTGCATTCTTTGAAGGTTTGTGATGTTGAATTATAAACTGAACATGGAAAGGCCTTTGGTATAACATGAGTAATTCTTTATCAGTGTATACACTGGGTGGTTTGGACGTGTTCGCTTTCAACTCACAATGATCTTTGTACCTTCAAAAAATCTAAGATAGGAGCTTCCTTGATCTTCCTCTTTAGCAAGAGGAACATATTATCATGTTTTATCATCCACTTGTAGCATTACCTTTCTAGTTGAGGGAGGGAGTGCAATGGTGCGTGCGATAAAGATAAATAAGTCATGAATGAACTTATAGAGATATTTGCATGCCCCCATGAAGCTTCGACCCTCCATGACTGTCCTTAGCCTCGCCCACTCTTGGATCATCTTGACTTTGTCCGGGCCAATTTGGATTTTTCCTTCGCTTATGTGTCACGAATTTAACTAGAATTGCCTAAGTCATAAGATACCATTGTGACAATTATTATTGACTTAGTTGAAATTATCTAAGTTATGAGACATTTTTATGTCAATGTCACATACGTAGTTGGGATTACCTAAGTCATGATGCACCCTTGCGTCAATGTCACAGACTTAGTTGGGATTGCCTAAGTCACGAAGCACATTTACGTTATTCGTCCGCAAAGGATTAGTCTAGTTGCAACCTCACTCAGGTCCTGTAGGACCTGCAAAAGAACAAATCGATTAGTTTGAAAGCGAGCGGTGGACAAGTTTCGACGTCTCACGAAGCGGAATCTTTACAAGCAATTCAGCAATTCAGCAAACACTCAGTGTGCACGAGAGAGGAAAAAATAAAGACTTTAGAAAGTAAACAAACAATCGCAAGTCCGTAAACAATTGCTCAAAAGCCCAAATGGTATGCTTAGCCACCTGTACAACACTTGACGTGTTTTGAAGGCTATCTTCCATGCATCTTCTTCTAAACTTCAGACTTGATGATAATCCTACTAGAGATCCAATTTAGTGAAGATGGTAGTAGGTTGGAGTTGGTCCAATAGGTTGGGGATATCAATTTTTTACCATGATTTTGTTTAAGGTACGATAGTCAATGCATGTGTCATTCGTCATCCTTCTTTAGAACCATCATCGTTAGTGATCCACAAGGAGAATAACTCCGATTGATGATGTCATTCTCGATTAGCTTAGCCACTTATTATAGGATTCGTTCTCTAAAATTGAGTTTTGGTACATGCTAAGATTAAGTAGTGGTGCATCGGAGATGAGCTATATTTCGTGCTCTACCGCTCACCACGAAGGTAGTGTGCTATTTTCTATGAAGAGGTTCGGATACTTGATGAGTTCTTATAACCTTCCATCATCATCCTCTTTCTTGCATGTTGCTCACAAGGTTAAGGCTTGTGATCCAACCTCAATTGACTAGATGAGCTATCATGAGATCGATGACATGTTTGCTCTTTTCTTAGTTGATGATGAACCTTGTGCCATCCTGTTGAAACTCGTATTGTATTGCTGGGGTTGGTAGTAGTAGATAACATCTTAGTCCCAAAGGTACAAAAGATTATTTGGCATATATCAAAGGGGCATCACTTTGCGTAAAATTGATGTATTTGTTGGTGACAGCAAAGTGAAACTTATACTATCGAACTATTTTCATCTCCACATCTGTGCGGATCCAACCCAATGAATATGAGTTTGAATGAGGCTTAGCTTGTTGGCCAAGCTTTTAGGTCAAATTTGTCAAGATAAAGTTCTTTTAACTACTGGTGATGATGGCATTGATAAATTTTTGCTTCACTTGAGTTTTCGACATCAAGCGCTCTTCCAAAACTTTGATCATTCTTCTACTTCTTCAAAAGGAGTTTCGGGTGGATCGTTTAGTATTCTCCTTTATATATCATGCAATTTTACAATGACCGCGGAAGAGGTTATTTTTCAGTAAGGACTTCTATCATTCCTAAAATTTTTCTTGGCATTCGAAGAGCCCTCTTTGACCACCTTGTTTGCAATCCTTTTGGTTGTGGGTCATGTACTTCCTTTTCATTGTCATGGTTGTTCCACTGGCACTCGAGATATCATGAACCGGGTGTATGAACCAATGATAAATTGTGTCACTAGTGTTGATAGAAATTTTGAGTGCTATTGTTTATTGCTGGAATTCGATGGTGTAGTGATTGGTCTCATCCTTGGTGCAAGATGCATCATATTTTCCTTCCATCGATCTTTGAGGTAACTCATTCTTATCGAATGAGCATTTTAAATTACCCCCAAGTCATCTCTTAGGATTATTATAGGTAGACTTTGCACGACCTTGTCTTTGCTACTTACTATAACGGTATAGGAGGACATAGTAGATGAAGTTGTCTTAGGAGAGAATGCCAATCCAAATTGAAACTAAACGTTTATTGCCCTAACCGGAAACCATACTGCTCTATCCGGATAGGGTAAAGTAGTTGTCGACTTTGTTGCTTCCGAGAACACGGAGAAGGTATGTCAAACCGTAAAATTCAAGTTGAGAAGAATGAATGAATGATCTAAATGCAAAGACTGATGATGCTGGTGGAGAACATCGAGAGATCCCGGGTAATGCTGTTGTTACCTAACGAGTCCTTCATCTTTTCTTTCCCTCTGTCGTGAGGAAACATCCCATCAAAAAGGGTACCTAACGTAGCATCATCCTCTGTGACATGAACCAATCATGTCTGTCATACATCCATCCATTTAACTTTTTTTATCATCATATCAAATAAGATGTAATACTAGAATCCATACTACATTCCATCTTCTATTTATCGATGATACATGCGCATCATAAACTGGGAGAAGGTGATGAGAAAGAAAGGAAGAACATGACCACTTACTTTCGGCCCATTCATCAACTAAACCATGAAATTAATTGCCTTCATCAACAGTCTTGATAGGATGAGAACCAAAGTGTTTTGACTATTTGGTCACATTGGGGAGTATTAAAGCAATATACCCATTTGTCGGAACATTGTATAATGCCTGCCGGCCGGGTTGGTTGGAAAGTGAAGAAATCAGAATGTTATCATCAAGAAAATACATAAAAGACATGGTATTTTCTCAATCCTTTTTCACAAAGGAGAGAGAGAGAGAGAGAAAAAAAAATCATGATGTTTCATCATAATTGATTGCTCTCTTGTAAGTCATACATACTAGCTAGCTAGCATATACAATCACTAAAACAAGGTACAGATGAAAGCATGAGTATAATGGCACTACTCTTTAGATAAGGAAGGTTGTCTGCTAGCAGAAAGTGCATCACATTTTTATAAGAATTTTTATTTTACAGTATGAACAACTAAGAGACGTATGCAGTAACTTTTATTTATTTGCAAGAAAGATAAAATTAAGTTGCTTTTATGGCTTGGATAAATATGTACCTCCTCCTCCTCCTTTCTGATCAAACCAATCTTAATCCCTTTCTGAAACAGCATCTATCCCTGACTTTGCTCTCCTGGATTGGTTGGGGAGGATCCATCTGCATTCCCTGAATTGGTCACTGGAACTTAAGATGCAGATGCAAATATGGTGGGTTCATGGAATGTGGCATTATAGATGCATCACATTTTGTTAAGGTGACTGACTACAAATCATCCGAGTTACTTCAAGAAAGAAAGATCAATTAATTTCTTGTAGAGCTTATAGATAAAAGTGAGTACCCTTCTTTGTTGCTGCCATGTGAAGAACTTTCTTCTGATCAACCAATCTTGATCCCTTTCTGAGACAGCCAAACTGCAGCAGCTTCATTGACTTTGCTTTCCTCGACCATCAATTGCCTCAATCGGCAGGAGGCATTCATGACCAGCATCTCAACAGCATCACTGACGATTCCTGGGCACCAAGTGATGTCGACGACTTCCACCTGCTTGCCACAGTGCTTCAGCAAGGAACTCAATGCAGCACCCGTCAGTGCTCTGCACCCCCTCACCCTCATCTCCACCAGATTCCTGCAAGAAGCCAGCATCGATCCCACTTCCTTGTCGGCCAAACCCTCGTTGTGGGACAAGTCCACCCTCCGCAGCCGCTGCATGCTCTGGCTGAGGCAGGTCAGCAGCCCGGGCTCCTTCTCCACCACATCGCAGTTCACCAGGGCGAGCTCCTCGATCGCCGCGCCAGCGGGAGACCGGGCGAGCGACCGGAGTCCGTCCCCTGTGACCAGGCAACAGCTGTGCAGGCGGAGCGCCGCGAGCCGGTGGCCCCCAGGCTTGCCAATGTCGCCGCGGTCGTCGGCCGCGATGGCGAAGAGGTGGTCGTTGTGGAGGTCGAGCGGGAGGCGGAGGTCGAGGGTGCGGAGCGCGGCGCCGCGGCGGCGGATGAAGTGGTGAAGGGCGTCGCGGCTGCCGCCGTCGTAGAGCAGAAGGGAGGTGAGGGCGCGGCAGTGGTCGGCGGCGTGGAGGAGGACGCGGTCGGCGATAGCGCGGCAGGTGCGGAGCTCGAGCACGAGGAGACCCGGGAGGCAGAGGGGGAAGACGGGGGAGGAGGGGCCGTCGCCGGTTCCCTCGCAGGCGCGCAGCTGCAGCCACCGGAGGCCGGCGCAGCGGCGCCACAGCCAGGAGAGGCCGCGGTCGGAGGCGCAGATGCCAGACAACGACAGGCTCTCCAGCGGCAGCAGCATGAGGGCCGACCGGTCCCCATCGTCGTCCTCGTCGTCAGCAGCCGGCGGCGGCTGTTGCGCTTCTTGTCGAAAGGAGGGGGGGCGCTTGGGGCGGGAGCGGACGAGGGAGAAGGACTTGAGGGAGGGGAGGAAGGAGAGCCAGCGAAAGGAGAGGGGGAGGAGGGAGGCGATTTGGAGAGTGGTGAGGCCAGCGAGGGCGGCGGAGGAGGAGAGTAGGGCGGTAGGGGATAGAGGGGAGGCCGGGAGGAAGCGGAGGTGGGCGAGACGGGAGGAGCAGGCGGCGGCGGCGATGAGGAGGAGGAGGTCGTCGGCGGGGTTGTCCTCGTCCACGACGGTGAGGTCGGTGAGGAAGGGGTAGTGGGAGAGGATGGAGGGGAGTGATGGCGAATTATCGCTCGTAGAAATAATCGGGGTCGTTTGATGTGGGGGGATGCGGAGGGAGAGGGAGGTGGTGGAGGAGCGGAGGAGGCAGAGCCAACGCTTGGAGACGAGGGAGACGGACGGGGCGGAGGAGGGAGGCAGCCGCCGCAGGATCTCCTGAACCAGCTCATCACACAACACCATATCCATCTCACCCTCTTCTCCTCCTTGCCTCTCCCTTTCGAACTCTCTCTCCCCTACCACCTCTCACGTTTCGACGGACGATGAAGGGAGGAGGAGGAGGAGGAGGAGGAGAAAAGAGGGAGAGGAGGTTGGGGATGATGGCGACGCGGACGGATGGAAGAAAAAGGTGGGGAAGGGAGGAAAGACAACAGAGAAGTGTGGCGGTCCCACCGGCGCTGCCGTGTGGCTGAGGAGGCGCCTCTCTGGACTCTGCTTTTGCCGCCATTGATTCATCAACCGCCACCGTGTTCGTTTCACCGCTACCCCTCTCAGCTCCCACACGCTTCTTCTCTTCATACCCATTCGGTACACGCTAAATTACCGGAAAGCCGCATGGGACCCACTGGAGAGCACCACACGAAGCAACCGCTCCGTGTAAGATGCTGAGTACCCTTCCCGGCCAACTCATACCCGACGGTTCTACCAGACTGATGACTGCAACAGTTATTTGGGGCCCACGCAAGGGAAGGAACAGCGACTACGAAGGGGTAGAGGTCCTTTCTCAGTCCGGTTGGCAAGAAAATACCAGCTGAAGCACAGGGTTCAATTGTAATTTTGGTTGGTTCAATCTACCATGCCTCAACTCTTAAGATTGGCACGAGTAATTTAGGTTTTATGTACGTACGTCTCACCATGCAGTGGTAGGTGAAGCAGATCACACTAAACATCACCATGAAGGTGGCAGCCATGTTGTCAACTTTCTTCCCTGTGATAATTAATTCTTCTTTCCTAGCAAGAAAATGCTGCCAACTAATATTGGAATTATCTACTGGTCAAATCTCATGTGGCCAGTGAGAAGGTTCTCATCATGATGACACAGGAGGATGCATAAAACAAGTTTGGTTCCTTCGTACCATCAGAAGTCAATTCTGACATATGTCTATTCCCTCAGCATGTAGCTCTTCATGCAAGCAAAATGATAATATAGCAAGTGTGGATGATTAATTTAGCTTAAGAACAACCATGAATTTTATTTTCATAGATTGATTTCACAAGCAGTGTTTGGCAAGTCATACTAAATAGCATTACTCTCAAGTAAAAGGACATAAAAAAAAAAAAAGTAAAGGTGGCATACAAGTATCTGATTGCAGGCACAAAACCCAGCTTTTGTGACTTAGGAGAAACCAAGTTAAATAAAACAAAAGTAACAAACATAGGTGCAAAACAGTGTCACAGGAGGCAAAAGTTTAAGTGCAAAAACAAGGTCATTCTTCCAGTTGGGTCAAGCCTAAACTTTTAGGAAGGTTTTCAGGTTGATCTTTTCAAGTCCCATATTCTACCTAGAGCTGAAGGTTTTGCAGGGATTAGCTTCCTAAGTCTTACCTAATGAAGTTTCAGAGGAAGCAAGGAGAGCAGAATCAGATTCACTTCACATTGGAAATTAAGACCACACATGGTATTAGGCTAATAAATGAAAATTTGCTCTTACAACTTTGGAAAAGGAGCCCCCTGATGTCTTTTTCTAGAATGGAATTGTGTTGCAGGTCAAGGGATTCATGTGGAAAATGTGATCTTTAATCTTTAAAGAAGCAGACTCATGCAGATAACTAGCAAAGAAGAGGAGGCATATATTCTTGACAAAGTGTTCTCTTGGAGATAATGTTGGTATGTGATTTTTCCTAATCTATCAATTCCATCAAACATATGGCATGAAGAGTAAACTTTTTCCTTTAATCACATTTTTCCCTTTGTTATTCTTTTTTGTCTTCTGAAAATTAACAAGCAGCCAGAAATAAGTAGCTATATGTACAAGGTATCCCTGGGAGAAAGGCCAACATCTAGGTCGTAAAAAAAAACAATTGCAGCAACCCCAGAAAACATATTGCATCTAGTGAATTCTTGTGCCTAGCAAATAATGGCATAATACCCAATCTTTTCGAGGGCCACGGTAAGTATATATTCACATGTTGTGGGTGGTCCAGAACCTAGAACTTTTGAGCTGATTGAAATTCCTATCTATCATACCATGATCAAAGAGCTTATCTAAAATTAGTTCAAAAGGATCATCAAACTGTTGACTTGATAATGCTAGATGACTTTAACCTATTTAATAATATACAGATGAGACTTTGCACCAAACCTTTCAGCATAATAGCATTGCAAGTGAATTTTTTGATGGACAAGGATCCAATCTATGTGCAGGATTTTAGTGGGTCATGAGGGAAACGACACTGAGCATCAGACAAGAAGGATGCCTCTGGCCTACATTAAGTGTGAAGGAACCTCTACATTAATTGTCACCATCTGCTTACCATGCATGCGACCAAGATTCTTACATAATTAGCTCAAGACATTAACAAAATCATATTTTCTTCCTATTAAATTTGTTTAGGATAAAAACATATGTTCAAGTCTCTAATTTTCCTGATCAGTGAATTTATATAAAACACACTGCATCTTTTAGAGTTATAACATTATATGAGCTAAGATAAAGTTATATACTATGCCAATGACTTATCTAGAGAGATTCAACAGAAACAACCAGAAATATCTTTTTTCCCTGTTTCGAAATCATGATAGATTGATATGTGGAAGGCTACATAAAGTTCATTTTTTTGTAATCTACATGAGCAGATCATCTAAATATGATTGTAGAAGAACATGCTCAAACTAAAATAAAGTCTCATTTGTATCCATGAAACCACAGCACAATTTAACCAACACACAAAAAGCAAATAAACAGTAGCTTATGAAGTAGGCAAGCTTTATGACAGGTTACTAAGCATTACAAGTATGTTTGAAAAATAAGTCACAGGTTTTATTATTTGTTTACCCAGTAAGATAATTTGATGATGATACTGAGAGACTAATAAAGTGAATAATTTTATTGCAACTGCTTCATTGGTATGTAGTTTTATTTCCAACAAAAAGGCCATGGTAAATATCCATCATGATCATAACTTTTAACTGATTGATTTTTCTTGATGCACTAGCCTGCTTGACAAAAGTTTGAGATGAGACCAGATAAATAACTAATTAGTATTGTAGTCAAATCTAAATATTAGTTAAAAATTCTTAAGCTAGCTTCTCAATTTTGTTTGAAATATCCGTTTGCTTTTGTGTGTTTACCTGCTAATCATAATGTGATTTGCAGTAAAAAAAACATAGTAATGTATTTCTTGTATGTTCCATAGCATTGCACCAGTGCATGTCAAAGTATCGGATACATACCTTCATTGATAGAAGGGAAGAAGCGTCAAAGAAGACCAAACTTGTAGCACCATCGATTTGTGAAATTTGTCATGCCAAGTGAAGGAAATAGCATCAAAGAGAATAACAATCAAGGCAAACTGTTGCATCGGACTTTGGCTAACATGAACATTTCAAATCTCTGTTTATATGTCCAGACACCCAGTTCATGATCCGACTTGACAGGATCCTTAATAGAATAACCGATCTATTAATTTCATTGAGTTTAAACTACTGACTCCGAATGCTTAAGCCAAAGTTAATTGTTGTACCATCCATCAAACTCTTATAATCCAATTCAAATTTTCAACACTGATCTATTAATTTCACTGAGTTTAAACTACTGACTCCGAATGCTTAAGCCAAAGTTAATTGTTGTACCATCCATCAAACTCTTATAATCCAATTCAAATTTTTCAACACTTCCAATGTGATTAAACCAGGATGTAACAAGACCCGCAATCCATCCCTCGATGATACACTGTTTTCAGCTCAATGAATCCATGGAAATCATTCTGAATTGGCCTCAGGTATAGTGGATTCGTATTTAGGGAGAGGAAGAAATGCTAACCGGTCATGACAGAGCTCACAATTCATATGACTGTCTGTGCCCATGCAGTCCAACCGGATAAAGCTCAAGTTGGTACGCAGGGATGCTGTGCCAGTGGATAATCTTCTCTCTTCAGCATTGCTGCATCTCTCCTGGGGATGTGTAATGCAGCCAGCTGTGCCTTCTCCCCCCCGTCAGTACAACTGCATCAACGATGACACCACGGCTAACTCTGTAATTGCTTTGAGTGCTCCATGCATAGGGAATTCTCACGGTCAGAAACCTTCCCCTATCTACTCCAGCGGTGGCCTCTAGATTCCAATTTCCGACCTGGAGGGCTACGATCTGAGGAAGGATGGTGCTCCCCAGCCGCGCCACTGTGATGATGAGCTGCTCCACCACTGCACTGCCTTGAGCGTCTCCCTAGAGCTTCGGCGCAGGCCACATTGAGGCTCTCGATCCCCTTGTCCTTGCGGAGGTGGTGGCAGTAATCTCGCAACAGAGAGGAGCTTGTCGGGATCGTGGTTCGGAGGGCATTCCCATCCCCCGAGCGAAGGAGTAGATGCCAGACGATGGCTTCACGGGCGGTAACCAGTGGTCGTCGATGGGCACCTCGAAGCAGAGGATCGAGAAGAGGGGGAGAGGGCGGATAGGGTTTTCCGGAGCAAGCGGTGGACAGCGATGGGATTCGCAAGCCCTCTCATATTTGGAAATTAAAATATTAAATTATTTTTATTTGTTTTTTATACCAAAAAATTATTAAGAAATCATATAAACCCTAATAAAATATTAAAAATTCATTAAAAGTGTAAGTGAAATAATAAATTACTAAAAGTTTTATTACAAGTTCTAGTGAAATTATAACTATTAGTATATTAAAAAGGCAAAGTATATTGCACTCTAAAATATGAAGAGTGATAAAAAGAAAATTTAGTTTTTAATCTTTCTTACGTTACTTGTTGATTTATTTTCTCGAATATGGTATTAAAGCAAAGATTGTTAAGGAAATAATTAATTTAATTCTAAAAAAATAGAAAGAAAGATCGACTACAACAATTACAATTACAATTACAATGATCGAGAAAAACATGAAAAAAAAAATAAAAAGTATTTTTTATTTCAGCTTTAAAAAGTAAACTGTAGTATAATTAATGAATCCTCTTATTGTTTTGAGTAACTTGCAATTATCAAGATGTAGTAGCGAAAAAAGTATAAGATGTATAAAATTAAGATGAAAACTGCACTTCCATCAAAAGGTCAAAAAAAAAAAAGAGTTTTAGAAGGTTTTCAAAAAATGTCAGATTACTGGACATTTTATTACTGGACATGTTTGTACAGCACAATATTATAGAGGCTAAGATCTACTCTACAAGCTGCAAACCTGTTGATGGCCTCTAATGCCACCATCTCGATCGTCAAACGATCTCACTGTTGTTGCTGCAATGGATGCAGACTTGAAAGCAACATTTGGGTTGAGTCGACAAAGCTTTCACAAGCATGTTCGGCGGCCACCAATGTGTTCTCGTCCTTGTTCAAGCTTGTACTTATTTGCGTGCGTGTTCAGGATAAGGGGAATCTCATCTCTTAAAGTTTGGGGAACCAAACAAGAACAACAAAGAATAGGTGGGGCCTGAAACCAGGAAGAGTTGCATATACCTTACTCATTTGCTTGTGACCTGCAATAAGTATGGTTGCACAACTCGTTTCTCATGCATTTTCTTCATAATTTGGCATTGTGCTTTGAGATTCACATTAGAACTCTCACCAATATATATAAGATCTATGAAGGGTTAATGTATACGATCTTATCTAAATATTAAAATAATTATTTTTATGATTGATGTATACAATAGTAAGGAGAATCCTCTATGTATATATATATATACATATATACATATGTATATATATATATACATACGATATACATATATATATATACATATATATATATATACATATATATATATATATACATATATATATATATACATATATATATAATGTTTGCGGAAGTTGTAGATCAGGAGGGAGAGGTGTCGTCTCATTCCCACCACTCGTTGGCAGTGCGGAAGCCGCCACCGTTCGACCACCCGCGAGACCACAAAACCCAAAAAGACCCCCTTTGCCCCCTACCAATCGCCATGTCCACCACTACCTCCGTCCTCCCATGGCCACCACCACTGCCCCCTCCTCCTAACCTCCTCCTCAGACCAACCTCTTCCCTCTCCGCTCTCGCTCTCCTACTGCGTCGTCATGGTTCTCTCTTCCCCATACTTCTCCTTCGCGAGACACAGTGGAGTAGGAGGAAGTGGTAGAGCAACAGCAGCTGCGGCTTCCGCTTTCATTCTTCGAAGGCCGCTTCGGCGACTGCCATCCCACCCTCGTCCCCCATTCCATGACAACTCCTCCACGAAGACCTTCCCTTGCTTCAAGTCTTATCCTCTCAGACCCGCCCTCGACAGGCGCCACCTTCCTATGGCCACCCTCTCCTCCTTCTCCGGCGCCGACGACGGGCCGAAGCCCGTCGTGGAGGCCAACACAGAGGAAGGGGAGGAGCTGCCCGAATTGGCCAAGGCTTTCCACATCTCGTCCAGGACCGCCTCCGCCGTCTGCATCCTCATCGCCTTCGCCGCGCTCACCTTGCCCCTGGCGATGAGGTCGCTGGGACAGGCGGCCGACCTGAAGACGAAGGCCCTGTCGTACCTCACCCTGCTCTCGGGCTTCTACATGGCGTGGAACATCGGGGCCAACGACGTGGCCAACGCCATGGGGACGTCGGTCGGCTCGGGGGCGCTAACCCTGCGGCAGGCCGTCATGACCGCGGCCGTGCTCGAGTTCTCGGGGGCCTTGCTCATGGGGACGCACGTCACCAGCACGATGCAGAAGGGGATCCTCGTGGCCTCCGTCTTCCAGGGGAAGGACACCTTGCTCTTCGCAGGGCTGCTTTCTTCTCTCGCCGCAGCTGGTACTTGGTTGCAGGTCTACTCCCCTTCCCCATCCTCTTTACCATCATCGAGCACTAGATTGCGTTGCACTTGCTGCCATCGCTCACAATAATGATTTCCCAGCTTGAGGTTTAAAGTAAACCTTTTCAATCTTCTGTTGAACTAATTGTATGTGTCGAAGACATCTGCACTATGAAATATCAAAAAGCAGTTTTAGCAACAAACTTAGCAAATTGCAAAAAAGGATGATCCAATCCTCTTAAAAGCATGCGGTGAATGTGAATTTAGTACATAGATTCCAGCAGAAGCAGAGAATATATTGCGTAAAGTTAGTGGTGTCTGGAGACCAAATGACAATTAATGCAAGGCATCACTAAACACTAGATGCACTACATTATCTCTTTGTTCTTCACAATCTACCACAGAATATTCTGCTTATAGGTTTAGTGAATTGCTAGGCTTCACTAGGAATGCGCAAGTATTTTTGTAGAACATGTGGACTTCAACTAGATGTGCAATTTGAGCTTCATACATAGCAGCTTCCTGTGAAACAATTGATACATCGAGGGTTTGGTTTACTAGTGTTGTTCCACTATAAGGTAGCCAATGCCTGGAAGCACTAGGTGGCTATTTGGTCACCAGATGTATGCTTTATATTTAGGTTCAGAAGGATGTATGTTTCATGACTGCAAGCCCTAGGTGGCTATTTGGTCACCACTTTCACCTACATCAAATTACAATATCATAATCTCTCTCATTTATGATTTGCATCTTCATCAAGAACGAAAAATAACCCAAAATTACCCACATTGTTATATCCCTTCTAAATCATCCATAAATAATCCTTTTTCAGGGTAGATCATTCATGATGCTTAGTATTATACCCAATAATATCTATCATAACTTACATCGACTGGCTTATAACAATATGTTTGACAGTTGTTCCAAACCCTAGGTAGACTAGTTAATTCACAAGTACTTCTAATGGTACTGAATTATAAAGGCAGGGCTTATCGAGCATCTTTTTTCTTCAGATAGACACAGGTGATGCCAAACCCCTAATGTAGTTATATCCGCAGTCTATGCTACATGTTTCAACAATGATCATCTAATGTTTCCCTCGTTCAGGTGGCATCATTTTATGGATGGCCTGTCTCCACTACGCACTGCATAGTAGGAGCCATGGTTGGGTTTGGGCTTATATATGGGGGAATTGGTGCTGTCTTCTGGAGTTCATTGGCCAGGGTGACTTCCTCGTGGATCATCTCCCCTGTCATGGGCGCAGCAGCCTCATTCATTGTCTACAAGTGCATACGCAGAGTCTGTGTCTTCATCCACACCAGCAGTAACATAATTGCTTGCGTAATTTAAACATCTGTTAATGGCTGACCTGTTTCTCTTGTAGTTTGTATACAGTGCTCCAAATCCCGGGCAGGCAGCTGCTGCTGCTGCACCTATTGCTGTGTTCCTGGGAGTTACTGGAATCTCCTTCGCTGCTTTCCCCCTCAGCAAGAGCTTTCCTGTTGCATTAGTTCAGGCCTTGGCCTGTGGCACTGCAGGTGCAATTATCGTCAGCAGAGTCATCCACAAGCAGCTGGGCCATCTGCTAACATCAGAAGCAGAGAAAACACCAACAAGCGAGAAGCCGCACCTCGAACACATCGGTTTCCTGACTAACGTCGCAGGCCCCACTGGAGCGCAGCTAGAGATCGTCTATGGCGTCTTCGGCTACATGCAGGTCCTGTCAGCTTGCTTCATGTCGTTTGCGCATGGAGGCAATGATGTTTCCAATGCCATCGGGCCACTGGCCGCAGCTCTATCCATACTTCAGGGCGGAGCAAGCAGCGCTGAGATCATCATCCCCACTGACGTTCTTGCCTGGGGTGGGTTCGGGATCGTCGCAGGGCTCATGATATGGGGATACCGAGTCATAGCAACCATCGGCAAGAAGATCACTGAGCTCACTCCGACAAGGGGCTTTGCAGCAGAATTCGCAGCAGCCTCGGTGGTCCTTGTGGCATCGAAGCTTGGCCTGCCCATCTCAGCAACCCACACACTCGTTGGTGCCGTGATGGGCGTCGGCTTTGCCAGGGGACTCAACAGCGTCAGAGCAGAGACAGTGCGCGAGATTGTTACTTCTTGGGCAGTGACCATACCAGTTGGTGCAGTGTTGTCTGTCTTCTATACATGGATCTCCACCAAGCTGTTGTCATTTTTGATCTAAGCTGTCCAAGTTGACAAGGGAGCTTTTGTCATAGTCTCCATTGCCTGTAACATTCTCTTTGCATTTGATCCAGAGCAGTCCTGCACACAAGAGCCAGAGGTCAAGAATTACATACAAGGTTAATGACAAGCTCATGACCAGGAAGCATCATCCGGTTATGCATTGCGGCTAACAGCTCATAATTAGGATTATATCTGCTCCCTGCATCATCCCAGTTTCTGATTCACTTGGTTGTTCCGTTGATAGTTTCTGCGCTGTTGTAAGAGGATAAATCAAATATTCTTGTCATCATAAAGCTTCTTATGTTCTCTCTCCTGTATTTAGTTTGGACCCATTACTTTCTTCGAGACTTAAAAAGGACTCATCAAGAGAATTATGTTCTTCATTTACAGAGGTAGTGTCTCAATTAGTTCGTACTCATGGTGTTTTATTGTCCTCATGCCAATTGATGTGGACTACATTTTGCAGCTTCCCTGGTTCTCCCAACCAATACAGTAGACAGATACCCACCATTAGTGATAATTCATTACCATTGCTTGTTTGCCTATTAGAGATCACTATTTATTAAGATATGAGACAGACAGCCCTCCTCAATTACTGCCTTTAGTTTTTTTATCCTACTTACCCTGAACCAAAGATGTAATTCAAATATTTTCTAATGCCCATTAGAGATCACCATTTATTAAGATATGAGACAGGCAGCCAGCCTTCCTCAATTACTGCCTTTAATTTTTCTATCCTACTTACCCTGAACCAAAGATGTAATTCAAATATTTTCTAATGCTTTAGGACTCCTAATTACTGAATTTTACAAAGGCAAGTGTTCACCACTAAATTCTCAATTAAAATCTCAAAAGCTTTGATGACGAAATCCCCTACTAATGATTACTATTCATTAATACCACTTAAAAGAAGATTAAATGGCATAATACATTCTCTTGGTTGTATAATAGCACTATTTTAATAGCATTTTAATTGTATAGGTGACAATGAGAGATTCAATGGATGACCTTGGATTAAGAGTACCATGGATACTAGATCTAGGTCGCATAGTGATTGATGAAATCAAATGGTGCACATATCAAACCAACTCATGTTCAAATTGGCCAGTCCACTGAAATGGGCACATGATTTCCTAGGGCGTCGACTAATAAGTAAATTTATCTCAAGATAATCATATGCATGATTTGCAGATTATAGTTTACAATCTTAGCAAACCTTGTTAGTGTTCCTTTTTTCTCTTATAGCGCCATCCATGTCTGAAATAAACTAACCTCCAAGAGATAATTGACATGAAAGCTCTCAAGCTACAGAAGATTTTTTTCCCGTGAAAAAAAAGTGACAAAAACAAGATTTGATTCTAAAATTTTACAATCAATTATCAATATATTTACCAATTAAACTAATTAATATGTTCAGAATTTGTCAAATAAGATATTTAACCAGATCTGATACACTGATGTTGTAGCTCGATCACAAGGACACTGAGATGAAGAGTGCCAGAGTGAATACGATTCGCAAACAAAAGAAAATGTCAAAGCCAGAGAAAAGAAGAGGCGACCGCTTTGTCGAACTCGGGGCATCGAAACCGTGGTGACACCAGGTTTATCACATCAAGAACAGACCGCCGAATAGAATGACTTCATCGGGTTCAAGACAAGCAATCAACATATCACTAAATAGGTTTTGAGATCTAAAAATCTCAAGTAAGCCAAGAATAACATCCCGATCTTTACATCGCAAAGAGTGAAGAAACTGCAGCATGTATCGTCATGGAAGGTAGAACATGGAAACAAGGAACACAGCGTAACAGAGAGGGGTAATACCTGCCTCTCGAATGACGATCAAATGAGAGAACGGAAGCGAGCGCCGCCTCCTCCTCTTCGAGATCCACGACGCCAAGAGAAGAACCTTGAGAACGGGAAGGGTTTGGTATTTAAAGAATTGGTTCGCCACGTGTCTGGTTCGGATATTGACTAGCCGCAAGAGAGGCCGAACCGGACCAGACCTGCAAACGGGTTCGTAATACTTGAAGTGGATCCGAACCCGAGGACTAACGGGTCGACATAGCAGGTCCAGCGACTACGGGAGGAGATCAGAGATCCTTATCCAAACCATGCAAAGGAAACACAAACATCACTTTTTAGGGGTTGTAATGGCATCATACTAAGTCGTTCCATCTGGTACATCTATAGTTGAAGTCCCACACTGCTGTTAGTAGTCTTGAAGCTGTGCTGCACGGCTCGTCAGGGGGACGAAGCGCACGGAAGCCTCACTGTAGACGTGGACGGAGCCGTCGTCATTCTTGTCGACCACCTTAAGATTCTGGAAGAAGTTGCCAACGGGGATCACCATCCTGCCGCCAGGCTTCAGCTGCTCCAGCAGTGCTCGAGGGATGTCGGGGGACGCAGCGCCAACGTGGATGGCGTCGTAGGGTGCCAGTTCAGGCCATCCTTTCCTTCCATCTACAGCAATTACAGAAGAACAGAGGTCATGAAGAAAGAAGAAACTTCCTAAACCCTCTTCTTTCACTCAATATATGTGTCTGAAACATTAGGTGTTTCAGAGATTTCACCTACTGGCAGCATGTATTGAACAACACAATAAGGCTAAGTATCAACAATGTCTAAGATTGCATCAAAACAAATGACAAGTAGATAGACATTGTCTACGAACGTAAACTTTTAGATGTAATAGTTCCATCCCTTATCTATTAGCAAAGATGTTGTACTGGATTTGTCTTTTCTTATTTATTAGCGAAGTTTATAGTTCCATCCTTTCACTTTCAAACCCTCAAAAAAAAATTTTCTCAAGTCGCCTTCCTCGGTGACTGCTATACCATTATCAAGCACAATATCATCCCTCCAAGGAGAGAACCTGTAAGCACTCTTTGTCAGTGTAAAACACCCATGAAGACCATCAGATTGGCATACCTTTATTGACTATCCTCAACCTTCCCAACTCTTCTATTGTTAGAATTATTTAGGTCTGCTTTATATTCCACAATAATGAAAATTATGCTGAAGACATTCTATACCAAGAACAGAGAAGTTCATGTACCAGCAGCATGCACAGAGAGGGAACCTTCATTCAATAAAGATGATGCGGCACTTCTCTCGATGCTGTTGATGGAAGAAGCAACCAGTTCAGGAATGTGTTCAACTCCCACAGTGCGGCCTTGCGGCCCGACCATCATTGCAAAACAAGCTGTCAAATATCCAGTCCCTGTTTCAAAATCACAAGCAGGTGTCAACTTAAATCCGCAATGGCAATGATGAGTATAAACCTAATCTCTCATACCTTACAGCAGTAATAAATCCAAAAGATGGGTGTGAAACGAAAAATTAGACGATGCTCAAGAATGCATTTAACCATTGAGAATTTTGTGGGTCAGTGACAACATTTTTTTAAATAACTTTGCGTGAACACAGATATTGTGTGCTAAAAGCTTAACACAAGAAAAATGCCCCACCTACAGCAGCTTCAGCCCAGGCGATTTCTTCTACATCATTCAGTGCTGATGTATCGTATAATGTTTGCAATTGCTAGATAAGATGCCCAACCATATTTTTGTCCATTTAAAAGAACATCATGCCGAAACAAATTATAAAAGGACACAAGTACTCAATGACTAAAGAAAAAGCCCAAACAAATTATAGAAGTACTCAACCAAACAGATCAATGGGCAGGTTAGGTTTAACATGCTATAATAAAACAAATTCCATGAGAACAAAGGTAATTAAGAAAAAGACCTCAACAACCCTTTATAAATATCTAGCATCATAAACCAGTATAGCTATATATTATAGCAGATACTTAATATGTGCCTAATTCCAAAAAATCATCAAATTCACATTTGTAACAGCCTTATCAAGTTAACAAAAACCTAACACAAAAACAACGAGGATAATAAGTGTTATGTATCACAATTCCATCCTCGTAAAAATACATCCTCTCAAGTGCTACTTTTTTCATATTGTTGTCGTCACCTACAAAAAGATAGAATGCTGATCATATGTGTGCAGTTTGCCAGGCACGCTAATATTTTTTATCCCAATATTAGCTATAAAGGTAATATTGATGCAAATGGTATCCAATTTAGAAGAAAACCATAGACATTGATGAATCAGAAAAATAAGCTCACTGGCTAAATGATGTATAATGCACCTGAGCCAACATCCAACGCACGCATTCCAGGTTGTAGATGTTCTTCCAGTAGTTCGAGACAAGTTGCATGCATGTGAGGTGCAGATATGGTTGCATTATATCCTATTGGCATAGGGCTGTCAACATAAGCTGGACTTCCTTCAGGTACAAATAGGCCTCTATCGACAATCTGCATTACTTCAGCAACTTTATCTGACTTGATCATACCATAGTGCTTTAATTGCTCCACCAATCCTTCGTTTTTATCCATCGAGCCTTTTGTAGAGAAGTGCTGGGTACAAAAAGGGGAAAAAAGAGTTTTTCCATGATAAGAGAGAAAAACAAAGACACAAATAGTGTAGCAGGTGACTCTTAATTGAACAATTAAAATCTAATAGCTGACAGAAACATACACAGACTCGCACCCACACACACCCACCCAAAGAACAGAAATAAACTGAGAGATGCATCGATAACAATTATACAAACTGATGTAATGGTCACAATTTTTACCAATGGAAAGCAGCACCAAAGAAAGCACATATCATAGGACTCCCCGAGGGGAGAAATGATAAATCTCAAAGTGCAAATAAGAGGAGAATCGACAGAGCCTACGGAACCATCATGGTTTTTTTAACTTGATATCTTTAAGCAATCAGATTTAAGCAGCCAGCATTCTTGCATAACAATAAAGCTAGTTTGTCAGCACTAGTAACCCAATATATATGTATACAGCTAGTTTTTGCTCTGATACCATGATAAAGAACACCGGATGTAATAAAAAGTGTAGACTCTGATGCCAATGATAAAGACCATCAATCCCAAAAGCTTAACCTGTTAGAAGCACATCCTACATTAAATTTAAAGCAATTAGAAGAAGCATGGAGAAGGCTCACTTTTTTTGCGTGCCTGCACTTTTGGCTATCAGTAAAGAGCAATACTTTCATATAGATAACAATGGGTTTTCTTTTAGTAGCCTCCTTAGGAACAAATCCCCTACATGATTCTACTCAACAAGTGCTAAAATACCAGCAGTAGCTTCAATATTAGGGTCCTCGGCTAGTAACTTCGCATGATGCGGATTAGCTTTAAATCTAAGGAAGAATTTACATGGGAAAGGAAAAGATAAGATGAGGCTAGACGCAGTACCTCCATTCCGGCCGAGAGAATGAAACGGAGGGAAGCACGGGAAGAGAAAGCGAGAGAGCGGTGTTGGAAAAGGGAGGAGTAGAGCGGACGGGGACG